GACTGTGGTTGGACCCACCCATACTGCGGGTAAGTGGTGGTAGACAGGCTCGGGAGGCTACTAAGCCCTGTCCTGTCCAGATATTACCAACTGAACCAAAACTCCCTGAAAATTACTCAGAATTACAAGAGAATCCGTTAAAGACCTTGTTGCATGATTCAAAAATATTAAAAAGACGCAACATTAAGCATCTGTCACTCGTCTGGTCACTGAGTAAAACCTACATCAGCTGGGGCCTGTACAGTATGTTGATGAAAAGTTTTGGTTGATATACGAGGATTGTTACATACTGTACAGTGTGTCATAAATGTTATATTATGGAATGTGATGCATTAACAGGGAAATTTGTGATTAGTGGCTTCATGGATGACGCCCCAACACTTAACAGCTTCATCACACTACTCCACCTCTTCAAACAATGTGAGGAACTGAGTTATAAGGAGAAAACACCAATGTGACACCAAGACTCTTACCAAACAAAGACCTTAGATTTTCTCACTTGTTCCTGATGTTTCCGCAACACCTTCAACATCTGTCTGTGTGTGTGTGCGTCTCTTTGTATCTCTTTACCTCTATGTTTGGTTGTCTCTTTAGTCTCATCAGTCCATCAATCTATCGGAGTTGCTCCATGCCACACTAAAGGCAGTAATTAACAAGGTCTACCAAGCCCCCACACGAAGCTTCTCCTGCCTGTTAAGTTTCTCCCTATCCTCCCTCTGCTGGGCCCCCTCTGGTTAACATGGATGGTAAAGTGCTGTTGGTATGGTAATTATACTCCAGCTACACTACCTGCATGAGTAAGTCGGAATTTATGGTTCACATTAAGGTTATAATTACCGTCTGGGGAGGCAGGTCTGTTTCCTGACAAGAAATAAGGTTAGTTGCTCTCTTTTTCCTTCTCTCTCTCTTCCTACATTTCCCTTATCGTTTCTTTTCACTAACTGACGTGTAACCATCTATTAGTTTTGATCATCAGTTCATATAATGTAACTATACAGAATACTCTCTCTCCTCAGATTATCCCGGGCAGGATATTGGTCCTATAAGAGATTCACTTCATCTGCTGTAAACACATCTCACATCCGCCCTAAAAGTGGGTCATTTACTGAAGACAATGTTATGTGTTAAGGCTGTGACCCCTTTCTTAATGCCCCTTATTATTCTAATCTACAGAGATAAAGTTTGAAGGAAGAAGTTCAAAGAAAAGTTAAACATGAATCTTTGCCTTGAACAACACTGACTTTCAAAACGTCCGCATCTACACACTGGTGACGGTTTAAACATTAGTCATACATACTGTACTTAATTAGCTAGATGTTTCCACTGGTAGGTCCTAGGTACGTCATTCCTCCAACACGCTCGCTTGTATGTGTACGTTCAATATTTATGATCGTGTGTGATTTGTATTCCTCCTACACGTTCAACAAATTTCATAACTTTGACGAAATTCAGATTGTGTACAACTGCTACAAGGCGATGACAACTCTCTCTCTCTCTCTCTCTCGTGTATTTACTCTTTCTGCCCGAAGGATCGATAAAATTTCTAAACGTCTCAGGTGAATAACGATCTGATTAAATTAAGGATAAATAGCTATGTAGTGTAGGGTGTGGCGAGGGTGTTGTGTGAGTACCAAGTCACGGGTGAGCATTATGGCGTGACAGTGTGTACCTAGGAGCTCCAGTTCTAATGATGATGGGTATTCAAAAAACTAAAAATAAATAAATAAATAAAAAATATTCGCAAGTTCCACTCCGTTCTTTATATTCATCTACCTGCTCTCTCCCTCCCCCCGTTACCCACACCAGGTGTTGCCCCAAAATGTTAATAGCCAGGGAGGTAATCACACGTGGCTCGGAAGGTAGTTATCACACGTAGCCAGGGAGGTAGTCATCACACGTGGCCAGGGAGGTAGTCATCACACGTGGCCAGGGAGGTAATTATCACACGTAGCCAGGGAGGTAGTCATCACACGTGGCCAGGTAGGTAATTATCACACGTGGCCAGGTAGGTAATCGTCACACGTAGCCAGGGAGGTAGTCATCACACGTGGCCATGTAGGTAATCATCACACGTAGCCAGGTAGGTAATCATCACACGTGGCCAGGGAGGTAGTCATCACACGTGGCCAGGGAGGTAGTCATCACAACACGACAGACACCCTTGGCCAGTCGATGATGATGGCGGCTATAAAACACAACCTTATTACCATATAACCATTACACTCCACGAAAATCAACCCGGTAACAGATGGTCGAGTTTCTCTTGATATAAACGATCGTCTCTGGGGTTTACTTTCTAGTGTCATCTACAGTCATTATACAGTCAAGGTTGTAGTACTGTTATTGTTGACGCTCTAGATTAGGTCGTGAATTTTAGGTTGACGTGGTAGTTGTCTCCAGAATTATACTGATAGGTTGACAGAGGGAAGGTCGCTGAGTGGCCTATAGTTCGTAATTAAAGTGACTTATGTGGGTGCAGATACGTAAAACACATACACTCCAACTCATTCTTACATAGGCAGCCACATATCTGATCTACTGTTAAGACAAAGGGAATTCTCAACTTTGCGTTCCTCCAATATGTTGAGAAATACACGCCCCTAATATAATAATGGCTAACACACATTCTACCACAAGACTCTGACCAAATCCAGTGGTGACAAAAGTGACGGCCATCTTGCTATCAACGTTTACCCTGCACCCACTGGTATAAGAAGACGTGAAGTAAATACCTCCGTAAAGCCAAAATCAGAGACTTATTTTATAAAGCTGTTTTGAGTATTATTTTGTCTGAACACCTGAGAGCGCATCTAACGGACACAGGACTTCAGGATACAGTATTGAAACCTTATCCACAGTACCGGTAGCGTAAGCCTGTGCACATCTGTTTTGTTATGACGCAGTTTTTTTCATTTTTAAACTATCATAACTATTAGACGATATAAAATGGGTGTGAGTGCGTAACTACAAATACAAAATATAAGTTTAGGTAGAGTACTCGGGAGCAGAGATACGTCAATAAACAGGGAGAGGAGCAAGATAAAGATAATATACAGTATTTACTCGTATTCAGCATCACAAACTGACAAAGGTGGTAAGACTGATCAGCAGGTACAGTATACTTATGATCTATTTACAGCAAGCTTCCAGTGTATGTTATCTTTTTTTGTAGAGAAAGAAGGAATAAAAGAAGATTAGAGGTGGGAAAAGAGAGATAATAGTTCTGACACCAAATACTAATCGAGATGTGATTGGCAGTCCTATTTATTCTTCTAGGACCATTATTTGACTTCATTCCGGCTATATTTGGGTACATTTGGGTACATTTAGGTACATTTAGGTACATTTAGGTAATTAGTCGGACCCTGACAGAGGTGTATAAATGGAAGTCAGGGCTAAACAAAGGGGACATTGCAAAGGTACTCAAACTATCCAACCAGGAGCTAACTCGTAACAATGGTTTTAAATTAGACAAATTTAGATTTAGGCGTGAAATAGGTAAACACTGGTTTGGTAACAGAGTAGTGGATGAATGGAACAAGTTACCAAATATCATCATTAACTCGAATACGCTGGATAGCTTCAACATAGGTTGTATGCTTATATGAGCAATAGGGGTTGGGTATAAACGGGACTGCCCAGTATGGGTCAATAGGCCCACTGCAGTTTCCTCCATTCTTATGTTCTTATGTTCTTTTATGGTTTAGCGATATGTACTCAAACCTACCAGCATTATGTGGTTCGTTACTTAAGATTCAACAGTTCAGTGATAAATAAATGCGCATTAGCTGTAGCGATATACTGTAGGTCATGGTGTAGTGAGGCGGGGCAGTACTAGACCAATCAGGAGGTCCCATGTGTAGTAAAATACCATAAAGTATAAACTTCTTGACATCGTAAATAAAAAAGTATAAACTTCTTGATACTTCACAATAAATCAATCATCACAAGACACCATGATGAACGTGTTGTCAGATCCAGCACCACCACCTGTGTCCTTGTTCCACCCCCCTGCCTCCCCTGCCTGGTCCCTGGATATATATACTGAAGAACACAAAGAACATGAACACGAGTGAACACCTTAAGACAATACACCAAGTAACAATGTTCTTACCCGGGTCAACATTAACATCCATCTGAGTTTCCGAATCACAAATTTTTAACTAACATATAATCGGTTTTCAGAATGCATTAACTTTCCGATTTAATTTCAATATAAATAAGTAGTTCCTCTCTCACAAGATTACCACACATACACGCACACACACACACGCACACATATACACGCACACGCACACACGTACCTCCTAATAGTAAGATGAAGCAATGTGTAAGTTGTTATGGTCAATCTCTTGGGACCAGACAGACACTCCGACGCCGTTGTCTCCACTTAGGTAGGTCACCATATATATGCAGTCACTATAAAACCACTTGGACAGGTCACCACACAATGGCACTATAGGATCACTTGGACAGGTCACCACACAACGGCACTATGGGATCACTTGGACAGGTCACCACACAACGGCACTATGGGATCACTTGGACAGGTCACCACACAACGGCACTATGGGATCACTTGGACAGGTCACCACACAATGTCACTATAGAATCACTTGGACAGGTCACCACACAACGTCACTATAGAATCACTTGGACAGGTCACCACACACACCTGTCACCCCCACAGACCTCGGGGTACTGACCGTTGACACTCATTTTACCACAACTCAACGATATCAGGCTTTTTATTAGTTTGTCGCGAGAGACCTAAGTGTACAATTTACTATATTTGTGTACTGCAGATTAAAGGATATTTCATGACGTCATTTGTATTTCACCAGCTGTTGCTCTGGATAAAATACAAGTGAGTTTGGAGCAGCCATGACGTCATTTGTATTTCACCAGCTGTTGCTCTGGATAAAACTACAGTAAGTTTGGAGCAGCCATGACGTCATTTGTATTTCACCAGCTGTTGCTCTGGATAAAACTACAGTAAGTTTGGAGCAGCCATGACGTCATTTGTATTTCACCAGCTGTTGCTCTGGATAAAAATACAAAATACAAGTGAGTTTGGAGCAGCCATCGACGCTGAGCCCTGAAGGTGTTGTGGGCCCTTTAAGGAAGCACTAATGATGAATTTAGAACTACTTGGTAAGTGTCACTATTTATAAATTATCTAATTATTGTAAATAATTTTGAGGTTTCAATATACTCATAAATAAAGAGACTGGGCATTAACAGAAAGGTTTAAATAATTTTATTGAAGGTCGACAAAGTAGTATAGTTTGTTAGACTATAATACTCACAGATGATCTTCTCCAGCTCAATAGCCTCTTCTCTACTCAGACGGTGGCTGTGTGTGGCGGATATTTGTGCCCTATAATTATATACTTGTTGATTTTTCCAGTATTTATCTAATTTTGCTTCAAACTTTTCAACTGTAATTTCCTTAGTCTTTCCTCATAAGATAAATCCTTGATCTGTGGTACTAATTTGGTAGCCCTCCTCTGTACATTCTCTACTGCTTCAATATCCTTAATGAGATATGGGCACCAAATTTGATTAGCATACTCAAGGTGTAGCCTAACCAGAGCAGTGTACAGAGCCTTGAATATAGATGCATCCAGATGAACAAAAGTTCTTCTAATAATGCCCAGTGGAACGTATTCGATGGTTTGTAAACATCATGTCTTGACGTATGTATACTTACTTAAGATAATGAGTAATTTTCCAGCTCAGGGTCTAATAATCATTTTATGTTGGATCAAGTCAAGTCAAACCGAAGGCTTTTTACCGCTATGCAAAGTCGAAATTAAAAACGTAAGTAGGCATATCAGACCTGAGGCTTGAAGATGGTAGTTATGCATATTCTAGCCAGGATAAGGCGAAGGCTTTGAACATATTCTTTTCATTGTTGTTCACAAGAGAAGATGCGAACAATTTTCCTGCGTTTGAAGAAAGACGGTTTGACACAGCACTGACCCACATTGTCTTCTCGGAAGAGGTTATAAAAAATAACCCGTTTTAACTAAAGATTCACAAGAGTCCCGGCCCAGATATGGTACACCCCAGAGTGTAAAGAGAACTGTGTAATGAGCTTATGGAGCCCCTTAGGATCCTGTTCTACAAATGCATGGAGGAGCAAAAGGTCCCCGATGACTGGGAAATGGCTTATGTGAGTCCTATATTCAAGAAGGGCGATCATCACTTCATGAATAATTATAGATCAGTGAGCCTGACCAGCATAGTATGCAAGGTACCAGAGAGCATCATAAGAGATGCCATGATGGAACATCCACTTAGAAACAACCTTATAAAGGACTGGCCAAAGTCTAAATAAACCATGTCTACCCACACGCATGGGCGGAGCTTATTACGTGACGCCGTTGGCATGTAGTGAAAGAAAACTGTAGTAATGGAGGAGGATTATATTATCCCGGGTGAGACCATCCCACCGTATTAGAAGATATTCTTGCCATATATCCTAATTTTCAAAGTGGACAGGGCTTTATAGTAGAGGGAAAATGTGGGGAAAATACTAAAAAGAACACAAAACAAACCTTTGAAAACCTGTCCAGAACTATATAGGTAAAGTATATGATTAGTGTGGAAAGAAGAACAAATTTCATGAGTGGCATCACTCCCATACCAAAAGAATTCCCCACTGATAAGGTGGACATGATAGAAGGGCTTTCAACATGTGCACTTGTTATATAATATGTACTGTAATTTATTTTTCTTCCACTCTTCCTCTTGCTCTCTTTTCCTTTCTCTCCTTATTATATTGCCTCACCTTTCCACTTCGTGATGTAGACTGCCATTTTCTTCCTCTCATACCCACTGTAATATTCTCTTGAATCTTCTCACATGTCTATACTGCCTGAGAGCACCTTACAGTATTTTTTACTTTAATATTTTTTTTTTTTTTTCAGAATCCTTTGGACAGAATTACCCTGAAGAGTTTGATGGAGCCTTGGACTGTGCATCATTAGCTGTCACCTGTGCATTTAATAGACGAGGAACACTCTTGGCTGTGGGATGTAATGATGGACGCATTGTTATTTGGGACTTCCTAACTCGTGGTATTGCCAAGGTCATAAGTGCTCATGTACACCCTGTATGTTCTCTCAGGTCAGTTTCTTAAGCATTTTACCAGAGATTTTCCTTCAATATGACCATCTTAGATATTGCATGAAAGGATTGCATTCATAAAAAATCACTTTGATTTCAGGTAGAATAATGCTTGATTTTCCCAGACATAAGGAAAATTTACATTGTTATTAAATTTTTGTCTTTATGTAATTTTTCACTTTCTAGTTGGAGTTAAGTATTGAAATTGTATAGAGTTCATTCTTATATAAATTTCAATTGGTATCATGAGTTTGTTTATCTTTCATACATTTGCACTAAAATTCAACTAATGTAGCTAGATCATCCACCATTGACCACAAATTCTGAATACTGTACTGTACATGACTATATCTGTAGATCCTGCCTTGAGACACCCATATATAATATTGTAACGGAATGTCTCACTTTTCATATCTCTTTTACAGTACTTTCACCGCTGCTGACTCTCAAAAATAGAATTTAATGATCTAGTTCATGTCTAAACCATCACTGTATAGTACAGCAGTTCTCTACCTTATCTACCACTCCTGCCACTATAGCTCAGTCTATGGGTTTCATTCCTTACTGTCCACATTCTACTCTTCAACCAATCTTCTTAATTTCCATAGCATTGGACAGTAACTAAACCTTATGCTTTTTCAGGCTTATCTTTCAGTGGTACATTTTTTATATAAGGTTGCATATTTTTTCTTTATCTTTATAGCAACAAAAACTTCTGCATTAGACCTAATTTAGTAAGATTATAAGCTCACCTTTAAGTGCCTTTCATTTATAACACAACTTCCTAATTTTTATTCATCTCCAATATAAATAACATATCTACCTAGTTATGTCAACTCTACTGTTACATGCCATTACTACTATTGTTATATACTTTTATTCATGTGTCTTTTCAAGAAATTTTATCCTATATTTTTTGACATTGAAAATTCTTCCCTGTTATTGACTGCTACTTATTTTAGGTTAATCTGCAGTTTAGAAGTTTGTGTTCATAACTTTAGAGAAGAGTTACAACAAACACACCTTCATGGGGCAGGTTTTCAAAAATTGAAGTTGAGGAATTTCATTAACGTAGCAGGCAGCTATTTACAATTTTCCTCATACATGTAAAGCAAACATCAGGTATGGCTTAAAAAAAATGGAGCTCATTCATCATCACTGATATAGCATCTGTTATTCTCTGAAGCTTCTTTACAGGGAGTATTTGTTCATAATGTAATTGTGATTTTGTTTGACAGTTGGTCAAGAGCTGGGTATAAACTTGTGAGTGTATCCACTGACAACAATGTGTGCATTTGGGATGTGCTGTCTGGAGAATGTGACATCAAATACAGATTCCCTTCACCAGTCATGAAGGTTAGTACCTACCAGACTGCCAATAAACAGTATATTTCTCTCTCTCTCTCTCTCTCTTTCTCTCTCTCTCTCTACAGTATATATATATATATATATATATATATATATATATATATATATATATATATATATATATATATATATATATATATATATATATATATATATATATATATATATATATATATATATATATAAAAGTCAGTACTCGACTTACGACGGGGTTAGGGACCGACGACCAGGTCGTAAGTCAAAGAGGTGAAATTAATACATAGAAAATCTAAAATCGGTGTCTCTTTTTTCTTCTCAACAGCACGAGAACTCTCACTTTATGCTTGCCAGCCATTTTAAAGGGAATTACAAACGAAAATTTTGTCAGTACACAGCACTATCACTTACGTCGGGACTCGAAAATTTAAGCAGACAGTATTTAGGAAAAATCTTTGGTGTGTATTTTCCTCTTGTAGCCATAGTTTTCTTAAAATAATATATACAGTATCAGTAAATGTGAGGAATAAATAAAAATAATAACAATAAATAAGTTACAATAAAAAATACTGTATGTTTTTTTTTCGGGAATTAGCCCACAATGGAGCCTGAGGGGCGGAAAAAATGAACGGAAAGAAATTGTAAATATAGAAAAAAAAGGTTATGCTGTATTAATCTACACCACAAAGATGCTGGAAAACCAGCTTTTTAAAGTGAGACAGTGTAAGAGCATGGAAACACAGAAGAAGGCAGAGCATTCCACAGTTTGGCTGTGCGAGGAAAGAAGGAGGTACTATAACGGGTTATTCTCGTGTGACCGACATCCACAAAGAAATGGTGGGCAACGCGGGCAAGACGTGTGTTACGAACCCACGGCCTTACTGGCGGTACACAGGAAGCCATATCCACTGAACATTTCCCGTTAAAGTACCTGTAAAAGAGAGAGAGTGAAGGAACATTGCGCCGAAGAGAAAGGGAAGAGAGATTGTCGACTAAAGGAGGAGAGTTAATAAGACGAATTGCCTTTGATTCCACCCTATCTAATAGTTGGACAGAAGAAGAGCCACCCCAGATATGAGAGCAGTACTCCAAGTTAGGATGAATGCATCCCTTATATACTTGGAGCAACTGCTCAGGAGTGAAGTAGCTGCGGCATCTGTACAGCATTCCCAACTTTCGGGAGGCAGCTTTAGTTATACTTAGGATGTGTGTTTTCCAGGACATATTGGAGGAAATGGTGAGGCCTAACATATTTATTTCAGAATTTGGGAGGATGATAGCGTCCTGAAATGTAATTGGTGGGAGATCGTCTAATTTACAAAGTGTAATTGGCAAATATTGAGTTTTATTACTATTGAACTTAACCAAGTTTGTACCTCCCCATTCAGAGATGCTGCACAGATCCACATTGATAGAAGTAATGATACCAGTTCTAGAAACAGATCTAGTTTGAGAGTTAGGAGGAAGGGGAAAATGTGAGGAAGAGTGAAGAGTAGAATCATCGGCGTAAGAATGGATAGAATTAGTTGTAGTGTGAAGTAAATCATTGATGAAAAGAAGGAAGAGAGTTGGTGAAAGAACAGAACCCTTTGGGACGCCACTATTGGTAGAGAAAGAGCTAGAAATCGATCCCTCGACAACAACTGCCATGGATCGATTCTCAAACCAGTAAATAAAGCTAAATGAAAGTTTAACTTAGTCGCCATTTGCATATACTCCCCTTGCTTCACCGTAGCAATGAAGACCAGCAAGGACGCTACCTCTGCTGATTCCTTAGCAACGCTCCCTCCCTTCACACACCACACCCTCCTCCCACTCCCCCACTGAACCAGCTCACTCGTGTGCAAAGAAATGTATATTCCCTTTATGTGTTTGGCCTTAGGACAATAATTTCTTTTACTTTTTTCACCATATATATGTAGGATGGTGTGTGCATGTAACTGAGTAAAAAATAAATGAAGAATGTTACATATATCTACCCAAAAGTACGAGTTAAAAAACAAACAAAACACCTCACGGCTTGGCTCAGTAGCCTGGTGGTTGCAGTGATGAGTCTAACCGCCAGCAGTGTTAACAGATGCAAAAGAAAGTTATCTGTAAATCTTCATTTGTATCAAGCATTTGTAGATTTAAAAATAATTGTTGCAGGTATGGCATTAATAGGTTGTAATGCTTGTAAGAGTTCAGAAATGGTTACTGCTTAGCTACCTCTGAAGAGTTGGGTGTCTGCCGTATGGAAGTTAATTAAAAATAATAATACTGTACAGCGAACCCTCGGAGATCTGGACTAAAAGGGGGAACCACCTGCCAGCAGCACCCTAACCCGGGGCATATAGGTTAATAATAAAGTCTCTCAAACTCATTGTCTAAACAAGATTCCACTTCGGCTTTTGCTTCCTCTTAGCTTTCCGCCTTTACTGGCCCATAAAATTTATTGGAAAGTCTCTGCATCAGTTGTCAAGGTCATAGTTAAACATCACATGTCAAATATGGCAAAGTGCTTTGTGTGTTATTTGCAAAGGTGTTTTGTTGTACTTTTAGCTTAAAATTAACCTAACCTAAAGGTGAGGTTCGATATCAAGTTTTTTATTGTAATTTTTCCTATTTTCAGGTTCAGTTTCACCCTAGAAATGACAAGATGTTCTTGGTTTGTCCTATGAGGCATCCTGCAGTGTTAGTTAATGTAGATTCTTCACATGAAGTTATTCCTATGGATGATGAGGTAAGAAGCAAAATTCCTTTTGTGAACCCTTTCTGCTTAATTAGTGTTAAATTTATCTGAAGACAAAATTCTTTTATCTTCCTCTGGTACCATTTTAAATAGTTCCAAACTAAATTCAGTATTAACGTTTTATATGTTTAGCGTAATTTTATTAATTTGTGTCAAATGTAAATATATTTATGGATTTTATTGTGAGATTACCATGGATACAGAAAAAACGAACTTTGAATTAAAATGCAGGGTTTTTTTTTTTATTACTGGTACTGATACTACTGTGAGATTCTGTATATTGTATTCATATTAATCTGTATATGGGGTATTTTCTGGGCTTGACATCCTTCACAAAATATGATATAAACACAACCCCATATTGAAGCATACAGTACTTTCCATACACAGGTTGTCTGCAGGTAGAACGCAGTATTCATAATAGAAAGGTGAACCTTAAGGATGTTTGAATATATTATCTACACTCATGTTATTACAGGGTGATGTAAACATTGTAGCATCCTTTGACCGCCGAGGAGAACATATTTTCACTGGTAACAGTCGTGGAAAGCTGCTGATACTGTCCTGCCCGGAATTAAAAATAAAAGCCTCCTTTAGGATTGGTCAAGGAACTACTAGTGCAGCAGCTGTGAAGAGTATCGAATTTGCCCGGAGAACAGAGTAATTACCATTGATTTATATTCTTTATTATAAAATCTGTCTTTAGGGTTCCAAGGATTCACATTCCCATAGCTCAGTTACCTTCCTATGTTATGGATGCATGATGGGGTACAGAATAGAGAAATACTGTACAGTATATGAAGATGTTTTCCAGTTATATTGTCTGAAGATGGGTGTGTGATATATACCCTATGCTAATGTATAGCCAGTAAAGATCATAATCTTAGTAGATACCAGTTTGTACTAAAGAAGCTTGTCTAAGTGAGTACAGTAGACCCTTGCCATTCGCTGGTTTGTGATTCGCGATTTCGACGACTCGCTAGGTTGTGAGCCTTTTCCCGCAGCACAACGAGTCACTCCACGCAGCATTTTGTGTTGTACTCTCAAAACTTTAGTTGTTTTTGTGTCAATTGGCCCCTAAAAGACGACCTAGTGTCAGTACTAGTGATGCTAGTGAAGTGAAATGTAAAAGGCAGAAGTCAGTGATGACCCTGACAAAGAAAGTTGAATTATTAGAAAAGTTAAAAGGGGATGAGTGCTGCCACGTCTGGTCGGTTGTTTGGTATAGGTACACAGTAGTGCACTAAGGTAGTATAAGTTGCTATTCACGGTTTTGCCTGTCCACGCCATTCCTTGGAACCTAACCCCCGCGAATAACAAGGGCTTACTGTACAGTATTCTCTTCACTCCTTATGTATTGATGTGAAATTATTATTTTCCAAAGTACTGTATAGATAAATCAAGAATGAATTTTGTGGAATTGAATAACCATGTGATTGAAAGGTAAAAGCTGTACAGTTACTATCTGTTTTTGGAGGAGTCGATGAAATTTCAGAATGAACACTGCGACTTTGTCATCTCGGTAGGGTTGCCAAAATCCTTTGTCCAATGTGTCATATTTTTTTTTAGTTATTGTACATATGAAAGTTACGTATTGAATGAAGAAGTCCTTGGAAGGTGCATGATAAAGATTATATGGTGATGGTATGTTCAGGTGAATCACATGATGAATGATAACACAATGAAATAAAAGTATGGCAATATAATGAAAGGTACAAAAAAAGGGGGGAATAAATCACCTAGGATCTTTAAATCTGTAATTAAGTTCAAATATAGAAATATGCCAGTGGAATATGCTATTGAGGAGAGTGGAGATCATATGTTTTGCTAACAAACCAATGTAGTGAGTAGTATAAAAAAGATTTAAAGTGTTAAGACAGTATGGAAGCCTCAATTCACTCAAGATGAGCTGAGGGTGAATGGATTTGTCTCTTTATTTCTTTTGTAGTTTATTGTATATTATAGCTACTTATGAGTCTAATTAGTAAAGAATTGAGTATTTTAACAACACTGTACAGTATTAAAGGATTGTTATTCTCTTCCAGGTTCTTTTTAGTGAATTCAGCAGATCGTGTAATTCGGGTTTACGATGCAAGGAAGGTTTTGAAGTGTGGGAAAGACGACGACCCAGACACTACACAGAAATTGCAGGATCTTGTTAATAAGTGAGTAGTCTTCATCACAATTTGTTTTAATTTGTGTGCATTTTGAAACCAGCAGTACACTTACTTTATAATACAGTAGATGGAAAAAAAAAGGTTTCTAGTCTTGTTTGTTATATGATATTTTAAGCTAATTGTGCTAAATGTTAAGAAATTTGCAGTTTTTTACATTATCAATAGAGACATATTGAGACTTGAGGTTTATTATTATTATTTGAAGCCAGAGTATACAGTACAATATAAGCAAATTATATGTTAGCCCATACATACTGAACAATGTGAGGTTAATGATCACTGCATGCTATTAATTTTTTCCCAGAACCATGTGGAAAAAATGTTGTTTCTCTGGAGATGGGGAGTACATCTGTGCCGGCTCAGCACGACAACACTCACTATACATATGGGAACGAAGTGTTGGTAACTTAGTGAAGATTCTTCATGGAACAAAGGGAGAGATGCTGCTAGATGTTGTGGTAAATGCTAAAAGTACCCTTATGTTCCTGTAGCATAGACTTGTTGTACATGTGGTAGCAAAATGTAGTACGGGTATCCATCGCTTTTTGAATGTTTGAGATATAAAAATTTACTTGTACAGATTTCCTAAACTTCCGCCTCTTGTTCGTGTTTTGAAAATTCCCCCTCTTGTACGAATTTGGGTCCCAGCAAAAATTAAAATTGCGTGCTCCCAGGAGTCAGCTGGGGCTGTCACATCCCCCTAGCCCTCTCCCTACCAGGCTGAGGTGTGAGTAATGTTATGATTATTTTTCAACTCATAATTTGGATAGATAAACTTAACTTGCTTTCTTCTTTTTTTATTCATTTACTTGCACATACAATCCTACATACAGAATTACATTACTATATGAAAAAAAGTAAAAGGAATAACTATTGTAATGTGAAAAAACATAAAGGGAATAAAGCTTTCCTTTTTGTGTGAGAGCAGAAGGGGAAGTACATACAGGGTATTGTTAAGGGTCAGGAGGAGGAGCATACCCCAACTGGACTTGCAAATGGCAGCTGTGTTTAACTTTGATTTAAAATTTTCTTAGTGGTTTTAGCTGCATATTTTCATCTAGAAAGTATTTTTTTTAATGTTTTTCATGTGTTAGGCAGTAAATTACAGTAGTTGTTTACTATTTATCATTAGTTAGCTTTTTTTCTGATTTCTTGTACGGGGCTTCCTTGACATTGGGGGCCAGACCCTATTTTATCCTATGTTTTTTATTCACAATATGAAAATTCACTTAACAAATGTTTTTTTTTCAGGAACCTAACCCATTCATATAGTGAATGATACTTGTACATACACTGTGATCATGAAGCCTACATGAAAGTTTTTTCCTATTTGACTAAATTTTAATCATCATTATTACTTTAAATTAAAAGTTATTGCCTTATATATATATGATGAGTTTAGAATACCTATACTGTATTTAAATTTTTCTTTAATTTTACCTATAAAAATATTTCCTCAGTGGCATCCTGTGCGACCAATTATGGCATCCATCAGCTCTGGAGTTGTTTCAGTCTGGTCTCAAAACCAGGTTGAGAATTGGTCAGCATTTGCTCCAGATTTTAAGGAGCTTGATGAAAATGTTGAGTATGAAGAACGTGAGTCCGAGTTTGATCAGAGTGATGAGGACAAGAGCATAGAACTCAGCCAGGAGAGAAGAGAGGAAGATGTAGAGGTGAGTTGGAGAGACACCTTTTCTATGTTTTTGGTAAATTCTCTCTATAAAAAAAAAGTATGTGTTGAATACCTAACCTATAGACCATATTTTGTGACAGACAGATGAAAAGGGCAAACCAATATGACCCCAACATACTGTACACTGTTGGGGGTCATGCATACAAAATCAGATAACTGTAGTTGTCAGTGCACCATATAAAGGGATAATATGTCATGGTTTAATTTAAACCTTTATTTCATGAAGGGAATGAGGATCTCATTAGTAACTGGTGAAAAGATTTGTTTATATTTAACAGTATAGGTAGGCAGGTAATCTTTGATTACCTTAGGGTGTTGCAATCCTGCCTTGCCAGCTATTTGCACCCTGTGGGTTAGGATTAAGAAGGGCATCCAACTATAAAACTTTGTTTCAATATGCCTGATGGCAACCAGGCCACCAGAGCTTTGCCTGGTCTCAGCAGCATTTTCTGTGGTGGTTCCCTGTGTTTCCAGTTTGTGGTTTTATGCAACTGCTGCCTTCAGGTAATCACAACTGACCCATACAAGCATGGAAAAAGGCTATAAAACATTGATGATGAAAGATTTGAAGAAAAAATTATGAATTGGTTGAAGGTATTACTTTCATATATTATTACAAAGAAATTGGGTTATTTTATTAAGAAAATAGGATAGGTAATAATATTTTTAAAAACCTACAATAGTGATAAGGATGTTGGGGGTACAGTTGATATTGTTGCATATGAAGCACTTTTAATATACCAATTGCTCTGTTGTATACCAATGACTGTATTACTCAGATAATGGAAATGTGAATTCTGGCTTTAACCTTAATTGCAGTACTGTACAGGTATATTGAATCTGGTAATGTATAAGAAGTTCAAGAAATTACTTAGGGCATTTCACTTTTTGTAATAACCACTGGCAGGTGTACAGTGCCATTGCACCTTAGGTACAGGTAAACCACTATTTGCAATGGGGACGTAGGAAGGTTGGGGGCGGGGGAGGGGGGAACCATACATAACTGCATAAATATTACGAATATTGCCGTAAAACTCCTTCCAGATACGGCCATAGGCACCACCTTTGCTTAGGAATTTTTTCATATTTATGATTTTTTTTTTTTCATCGATCTAAGCCTGACGCTCCCCTTAATGCTAGTTTGTTTGCATCATATATAGGGTAGGTGGTCTTAATATATCAGCATCGTTATCAGGAATTATTGTTGATTGGGATATCGTAAATAGAAGTTTACCAGTATTCAGTACAGTTTTATGATGAAAATAGAATAAATGATTATAGATACTTTAAAACTAAAGATACAGTACAGTAATTTGTGATCTTTCACTAATGTAAAGTGGAGAAGAATTTGATGGGCTTCCTTGGCTTTTTTTTATTTATTTATATACAGTACAGTGTATTTATTTTGCAATTCATGTGTTAGAGAATATTGGAATCTTGCTATTACCGTATATCACGGCCTATAAGGCGGCGGGGTGCATAAGACGCCCCCCCCAAATTTCCATTTAAAAAGTAGCTTTTGAGCTCTATTTGCTGTATAAGACCAGTACCCCAAATGTGACACTTACCCACTGACTCAGTAGTCCTTTACCAACCATCCTTGATTTTTTAAAATAAGGCCAATTCACTTCAAGTAATGTCATCAAATTATACTCGCTGGTGTAGTGTAAACACTAGTGACGTCACTGAAGCGTGGTGGGAGTGTTCCCTCGTCTGGGTGGTGTGACTATTTATACAACATGTGGTTAACAGCAACCACCGTATTCTAATTGTGATGTTTCATTAGGATTTGAGTGAAAAAGGTTACCAGTATGTACTTACTACATACATTTATTACACAAATATATATATATATATATATATATATATATATATATATATATATATATATATATATATATATATATATATATATATATATATATATATATATATATATATATATATATATATATATATATACTGAATATACTATGTACAAAAAATGAATGTTCAATGAATTATTTATGGTGCATTAGGGTACTGGTCACTTCTGATGGGCTATAAATAGCCTTCTTTATCTCCCCTACATCTCACCCTGAGCCAGACGGAAGGGTCTTGGTAAATAACATGTTTGCTTATTTTCCATTTACTTTAAATAGATTTACTGAATTATTTGTTTTATTTATTTATTTATAATATACTGTAATATATTAAACACACTGTAATTATTTTCTTTAATTTATAAACTGTTTTGCGACAAAGGAATGTTCTCCAGTAGTGTTTCATTAGGATTTGAGTGAAAAAATATTACGTACTTACACAATTGTTCCTCTTACTTTGACAACACAACATACATACAGTATATTATTTCTCAGTTTTGATCTTTTTTTTTAATTTTTGTATTTATTTATAGTTAGTTACTTAAAATAAGGCCAATTCACTTCAAGTAATGGCATCAAATATTACCAGCTGGTGTAGTGTAAACACTAGTGACGTCACTTGAGCGTCTGTAATTAACCGTGGTCACTTTTCCTTTCTTGTCTCCTCACTGGCAAATGGGTGTGGGGAGGGGTGTGTGATGATAGCTGTGTTTATTACAGGGGTATAAATCTCTTTTACGGTATGTTAGACAGGTTTATAATACATTTTTATTATTTTAATATACCGGTAATCTTAATTTGAATCCAGCTTGCCAAACGTAAGTTTCAGTATAAAATAATTAGTGGTAAGACCTTGTGAGTGGCTTACGATGTTTTCATCACCACTCTTGACACAGTAAACCACAATATTTAAGAGGTAAGAATTTTAAACTTGGTGGTTTAGACGACCCCCTAACTTTGGGCAGATTTTTTTAATGTTCAAATTTCGTCTTATAGGCCGTGATATACGGAAATGTCCTAGGGTTTATGTAAAAAACAAAGTCATAAGGATTTTGATCTTCAACATATTAATTATTATCTCTCTTAGTACTGTACTCAAGATAATTATTGCAGTATTGTTTTCTTTTTAAGGTTGATGTTACAAGTACAGAGCCAGTAACTGCCTTCTGTAGCTCTGATGAGGACGATGATAGCAAGGCTCTTTTGTACCTTCCAATCTCTCCAGAAATAGAAGAACCTGAGGAAGGCTGGGGCCCTGAGGGTGCACCAAATGAAGACCTCTCCTCCAAGAGGTCAGGTGATAGTAAGGAGAATGTTTCACCCAAAAAGAAGAGACCAAAAACATTTGATGTTTCATTAGAAAATGCACCAACAGATGGTAGGTACAGTACATGTGGTTGAAAAGGTACAGTAACATAAATTGGAATAATAAGTTTATTATAATGTGTTTTACTTACATGATTTATTAGTACTAATTTGAAAGTGAATATCTGTATGGGAACATTAAATCTCATTTTAATTATACATTATATCAGTGTTGGAATAAGGATGCAAAGAAATTCCATATGGAGATATAATTTTGCTCTAGTTACTAAAAACTATTTAGCTGAAGATAATGGATTATCTTATGAAGCAAGAGTTGAACATTATTTCATATTTACAAGAGCACATATTGACCATAGTGTCGGGAATGTTCTTTATCTGAAGGTCTGTATTGTGTGATTGAAGAAAATTCTGTAACTTTGGTTTGGGAAATAATTTTTACAGTACCGGTATTTAACTAATTAAGATTTTTTCCTCTTCTTAAATTATAATACAGTTTTAGGAACATTACAGATTATTCCAGTAATGGGAATGGAGAATCCATAGGAACAATGTGGTTGTAAGAGTAATGAAGTAATGGGAGAAAGAAAAATTAAATGTTCTGAACCCATGAGAAAAGCAGGTACTGTACTGAGCTTGAGTTTTAAGTAGTACCGTAGTGAAATCATCAGGAATGATGGAGATAAAAGAAATGGTAAAATCCAAGCAAGATTAATAATAATGATTATTAATAATGAGGAAGGATTAGTAAATATTTTAAAGTCACAGAGTAATGTAATTGGGGTCATGAGGGAAGCTAGGAAGTGTCATGAAGTCACAGTCATTTTGATGAGGGATATAATTTCATGGAAACATTCATTGCCTTTAGCTGTGTCTTGTGCTTTCATTTATGGTTGACTTATTGCTATTGTTTGGTAAGTCTTGATTGTAGTGATATTTTTTTATCAGAGGAATGACATGGAGACCACATGGTGAAAACAAACTGCATATGAAAATTTGAGGAAAAGTTGGGATTGAAATCTCACACAGTTCTTTGGATAATTATTTTCACTGAGGTGTTCTCTTGCCAAAAACTGAATATAACTAAAGTTTGACTTGACCATCAGTCAGGATGATTTGAATTGGTTGAGGTTATATAACATAGGAAGAACATTTTGTGGCAGGGAGTTCCACTGCAGGCTTGTGTGCAGTATCAATGAGTTTTGGTAGGCAGAGGTTCTACAGAATGGAATTTCAACAGAAAAGCCATGGACCCCTCCCATATGCCTTTGTGGTTAATTGAGGTGTGCTTTATGGTAACATTGTTGACTATACCTGTAGCTCACCTGAATACTGACTGGAAGTGTCTATAGAAATGGGGGAAATCTTTTTATTTTTTCTTAGAGTTGTGCTGCTGTTGGAAGATAAGTTTAGTACTTCGTATGTGTGTGCTGCACACTGTAGTAATATCGGACATTTGTAATTTCTAAAGTTCTAATAGTAATGCAGAAAGAAAATACCGAGCTAACAAACAGTGTGATTTTCCATTTGCTATTTAATTGGAATTTTAACTTTAGTTTTTAGTTCTCAAAGCAAATCTTGCTAGAAATTTCATGGTTTAGTACTCTGTAACAGTAAAGTGACTTCAAAAATTTCATATTTTTGGATATGCTGGGGCAGTGGTGTGAATAAATGATTATGTAAAACAAATGGTTGCTACAGTAAATTTTTATTTTAGGTAAATCGACTATAGACCCTTGGCTCCTATTATTATTAAGATGCCATAACTAATTCAATTTACTTTTCACAGAGGTTCATCCATTAGTGAGCAACAGACCCAAGGAGAAACAAACTGCAGGGAACAAGAAGGGACGAAACAACTCCAAAGGAGACTCAAAAAAGGATAGAAAAAAACACTGATGAAGGTTTATATATGGTTTATACATAGTAATAGGCTGTTCCATTTTTACATTTTAATTTGTAGTTTATTTTATATGTATAAACAGATTACATACAGAGTCCATTTGGAACGTAATGAGTAAAAATGGAGTGCAAACTCCTAAACTTGTACAAATTAACAATTTGTAGTTGGCATAAGATTGAGACATGATCAGTCAAATTAAATAAATTTGTTTGTAAATGGAGCATTTAAAAAAGAAACTAGTCATTGTCAAGATAATTAATGAAATAGCATGTCAAGTAAGCCTCACAGTATGCAGTCTAAACATGAAAAAAGATATACCGTGTCTTCATTTGAGTTTTACACTGATAGACTGTTTGTAATGTTATTCAGGTGCACGTTAAATAATGCTTTTTGTTTTTATTACGATTAATGGTTGAAACTAATCGGCATTATAGTATACTTTATGTATCTCTGTTCTAGTGTTTTAACTTTCTGAAAATGGTGACATGTGTCGGCTCCTCCCAGGACAACTCACCCGCATTCCATCTCCAATCTTGAAATATCAAAGATCCAGTGGCAATCATTGAATTATTATGTGAAAACTTCTAGTAACTTCAACCCCTTATGTATGGGGTCGCCTCTCAGGTGAATAAAATCGTCTAACATTAGCCAAATGAAATATTACAAGTAGTGTCCCCCGTAGTGAAGGAGTTAAAGACAGAAGTGTGTTACACATGCCACAACTACAACTGTACTGTACAAATGTACATGAATAGGAGAAATAAACAAAACAAAATATGAATAAATAAGAAAATATAAAATATTTATTAACCCATAGGCTCCGGATGACATTCCAGAACGTATATATACAGTATATATATATATATATTATATATATATATATATATATATATATATATATATATATATATATATATATATATATATATATATATATATATATATATATATATATATATATATTTATATATGTATATATATTTATATATGTATATATATTTATATATATATATATATTTATATATATATATTTATATATATATATTTATATATATATTATATATATATATATATATATATATTATTTTTTATTTTTTTTTTTTTTAGATTGATTTTTTCCCTATGGGGGGCTACTGCCAGCAGCACCCTAACCCTGGACTTAAGGGTTAAAGAAGGGGCTTTTAAAAAATTGGCATATTGTTAAGTATAAAGGGAGTATTGCTATAAGAATTTTAATTGAGTACACCCACATGCCATTGTTAACCAAGACTAGCCATTCTGCTAACAAGACTATTTCAGAGTGTATTAAGATATTAAATCCTGATAGATTTTAGGGGCCCAAAATTATTTTTATAGTATTTTCTTAATTCTTAGAAGTTGTATATTATAGAATCTTCATTCAGTGTAAATGTTGTTTAATGATTAGTGCTGGTTTGTATCACTTAAATATATTTTTTTTTTTACAGTATAAATAACTCTTAGTCACCAGTCATTTTGTTCACCCTATTATACAGTAATACTGCTCAATTAATTAAACATGCAACAATAGTGATGTACTGAAAAAGTACATACTGGTATTGTCTTTTAATAATGTAAAATGTTTTCATTTTGTCCATTCTGTTTTACATTTTTTTCAAAAGTAAACACTGTTCTGTTTTGAATTTTGTCTTTTTTAAGGACATTTTGTGGCTGTTCAGCTGATCGGCTAGTCCGCCAATACAGTAATTGGTTCTATATTTACATTCGTTTCCAGTGAAGTAATTATCAAGAAAGTTGGTCTCTTGAATATTTCTGCATTTTTTACATTAAAATTATTGGTCATTCTGAAATTCAGTTCACATATTGATAATATATACAGTACAGGGAATGGTTTTTGTGGGCACATCAGCTGATTGAATCACCCACCAACGCTTCTCAGTTTAACTTTGTTTACAGTGGAGTGAACATCCAGTTTGTTGGTCTCTTGAATATTTTTGCATTTTTACATTAAAATTATTGGTCATTCTGAAATTCAGTTCACATATTGATAATATACAGTGCAGAAATTATTATGAAACGTGAAGAAGGCATTAGAACCAATGCACTCTGTAAAGAATATGGCATGTCATCACCAACTGCCTCTACAACCAGCTGTTTGATATGTAAGCAAAGCTGCCAGGTATACGACATACACACCTCAAAGTAAGTTACTCGGTAAAATACAGTATTCTATTGTTTTTTATTTATTATTGTACAGTATACTGTATAGTATAGAACTGTATTTAGTTTATATTTAATGTTTTGTTAATTCTATTACTGGTATACAGTACTTTGTATGTACTTTTTCTGTGAGTTGGAACCAATTACCCAATATCCCATAGGAGTAATAGCTTTAGTTAACGAACGATTCTGTGGAATGAATTATGTTCGTTAACAGAGGGACCACTGTAGTTTATTATTATAAAAATGCTACCATTGGATTGTTTAATATATATCCTGACAGTGATGCAACCGAAAATAGATCCACCAATCACATTCCCTATTACATAAAGCCTTACTTCACCCTTGATGAAGAAGTGTGATTGTTGCCGTGAACCCTTTGCTCATTAATGAGAAACACCTGTACAAATCATGATAATAATATCTTTATGTATTAGTAATGGAGCAGGTGTATAGATTATAGATTAACTTGGGGTCAGACAGCCAGCACCACATTTATCCCATCCAAATAGGACTTTAAAAATAACAGTACCGTACAATACCAATACTATTTAACTCACCTTGCATGAGCAATAGTAACAAAATTTATATTGCCTGTGACTGTAAATACATATACAGTACAGTACTGTATGTAAAGTTCTGTACTTTATTGTATCTAAGACTTACTTCAATAAACATAGAGTTATATATACAGCTGCTCCCCGACTTACGACGGGGTAACAGACCCAAATTCAGGTCGTAAGTCGAAAATGCTTAAATAATACATAGAAAATCTAAAATGGGTGTCTCTCTTTCTTCTCAGCACCATAAAACTCTCACTTTTAAGCTTGCCAGCCATTTTAAAGTGAATTACAAACGAAAATTTTGTCAGTACACAGCGCAATATTTGACGTTGGGGCTCGAAAATACATAATTTGACAAAATTTTGGTACGACTGAGTCGGTCGTATGTTTGGGTGGTGGTAAGTCGAGTAGGTCTTAAGTCGGGGAGTAGCTGTATACAGTACTGGTATATCCCCATTATAAAATGAGTGATTGCACATAAAATGGCTTCAGGAATAACTGCTTACATGTAGAGAGCACAAATGCAATATGCAATGATAAATAAAACTGTAAAAACAGGAAAACCAATCCGGCAGCCATAGTTGAACCTTGCAGCCCGAGTGCGTCGTATACCCTGTTTGTCTTCTTTGTTCCTCACCCAAATTGGCCTCACAATCCGGCAGCCATGGTTGAACCTAGCAGCCCAGGTGCGTCGTATACCCTGTTTGTCTTCTTTGTTCCTCACCCAAATTGGCCTCACTTTTGACTCCTCCTAAAATAATAATAATAGATAATTATTAACATCATTTTAGTGTCACCTTTTAGTTTTAGGACAGTGAGGTGATCACAATAATTCTCATTACTGTATTTTTATTCATAAAAGAAACACAGTGGCTAATCGTACTGACAGATATCATCGCATCTGTTGCTATGGTTGATAAATTGCACTAATCCCATTGTCTCACACTTGAGGTTAGGTTAGATTTCTCAAGAATCATTTAATTCTCAGCCATTGTGAGAGAAACTGTGATGATATTTGTCTGTACATTTAGACTCAGCTTAGAAAAAAGCTAAAGTCCTGTACAGTGTTCAGTTTTGTTAGCTCCTAATGGTTTAGTAAAATTGTAAAGCAAGAGGGAGGTGGGATTTCACTGTATATCCCGAAAACCAACGTCCCATTAACTGCTAATTCACATAACCGACAATTACATGCTACAGGGAAATACCCTTCAAGTTTCATTGATACCCGGAGATCCTACAATCAGGAGATGAGGGGCAGAGCTGTTATGAATTTGGTGGGCAGTGGCATGGTGTGAATTCTTGCCACGAGAGGGCTCTGTGCGCTGTCTTCGACTCATTCCCGCCTCTCTGCACTTGTTTACACTTATCATGTGTCTCTGACTTAATATTTTTTCATTATTTTCGATTTTGTGTGTTATGCAATCATGCCTAAATGCCCTAGTGGTAGTTCCTCTTGTGCTGCTTGATGTGATGTGATGTGATAAGGCATAATAAGAGCGGTGATGGACCAGCAGAGAGTGGTAGAGACTTGAACTTGCCACCCTAGACCATCTCTACCATCCTCAACACAGGTAAGTAACAGTCTTAATTTTTGCTTTACATTCCTTATTTAATGCTTATTGTGCTTGTTTTATATTTCTGCTTTATTTTCTTGCTTGACAGTGTACAGATATATCAAGAGTAGATGGGAGTTTTTGGAGGGAGGCTGGTCCCGAACCTTCAGAATTTGTTATACCTGTATTATGGGATTAATTGCTCGATAGCTGTTGATTCACTAACCAATGACTTTTCATTGCCCCAATATGTGTTAGTTTTCAGGGTATGCTTGTACCATAGTTTAAACCTTAGTCATCATGAGAGACAATCTTTGGTAAATATCTATAATGACTCCGTGAACTTAAGAATGGTTTGTTTTCTTTGAGATCTTTACCAATTTATTTGTTACAATGCATAAAATTTAAGGAAAAACTTACTTTGAATTTACTTTAAAAAAAAGTAAAGCCTGGCCACTGTGCCTTTGGTGGATGAGTGAACCGTGACCAACTTACATTATAACAGGATTGACCACCAAGTAATTGAAGCTAAAGGTCATTCCTGATAAAATCAGAAGTGGCCTATACAGTACGTGTAGGTAAATTTAAAATCATTTCCACCACTTTCTCATCAAATTTATATTATTTGCATTAAAATAATAATTTTACAGAAAATGAAAAATTAAATCATCAATACATAAATAAATCTTCAGTCCTTGACATTTAACAAAACTTTCAGTGACAGATTATGCACTGTTGTGGAATAGAAAAAAAATTATGAAAATGTTGGAAGGGAAATGGAGGCAGTTAGTTATTAACTGCTCAACAAACTACAATGTACTGTATTGTTTCAAATGGTATAATGGTATACAGTACACAAAAATATCACATTTTATCCATTACCTGCAACCAGTGGATGACGACGAGAGCCACCACCACAAGGAAGAGTGTCAGGATACAGTAGACAAACCAGATATCCACCAGTTTGAGATATGCTGTATGAGGGATGGAGGCACTCACCTAGGCAAAAATTAAATATAAAATCATAAGAAAAAATTACATTCCAGTAGTCACTTCTTTGTTTGTACTGTACAAGTATTAGCAAACAGGACTGACACATATTATTGCATAGAGGAGTTTTTATGTCTAGCTTTATTTTGACCTGTCCTTCATGTTGCTGGGTTAACTCCATAATGGAGTATATGTCATATTAGCAGTTGGAGTTTAAGTACTACCTCCTCTCATTTTCCAGCTGGATACAAGTACAGTTACTCCAGTTGCCTGTGGAAGGCATTAGGATATAAATGGAGAATTGATCCTGAAATCCCAGTATTGTATATAGGCAGACTGATGCCAGGAGTCTTGGATACTCTCCCTCATCCCATAGATTGCAGGAAGTGAGGATTTAGAATAATTAAATGAGCCATGACATACAACAGGTGAAGGTACGTACACCCTGGTGTGACGTTATGGCTTGGTACCCTCCTTCCTTTGATGAGAACTTATGTGTCTAGGTCTCCCCTTATAGGGGTGATGGTGGGTACAAAAATGTATACTGTAGTGTACTAAGGATAGATAATATCAAAGGATTCTACTTAGCCACTTGGGGTGAGTCACCTGGGTCTGTGCCTTCCCAGACAGAGTGAGGTATTAGTTAAGGTACATGGTGGACAGCTCAGTTATTAAATGGGATTTTAGGATCAGTACCACATTCTAGTAATTGGCATATTTGATTTAGAAATAATTTCCTCTTTCCCCAAGGTATTGCAAAGCTACCTCACCCCTAAATCCTGGCATCTCCACATAAATACTGAAGAATACAGTTTAATATTTGTCATATTAATTGTGATTATGTGACATTTACTACAAGGTTGTAGATTTTATCCTGTAAATAAATTCATGCCAGCTTCATGATCAAAATTATATGTCAGAATAATTAGATTAATCCTCCCCTAAACAGAATTACTATCAACTGTAGTAATTAGATTAACCTTAGCACCCTGTCAAAGGGTTCATTAATATCAGATGACACCAGCACCCACCTGGGAGAAGAAGGTAGCCTCAACGAGCAGCCCTGTCAGACCCACCATAACTCTCTCATTGAAGTTCCACAACGGAAAAAAGAACACGAGGATTCCAATGACAACAATGATGAGGGTGGGAACATAGGTCGAGATGACATAGAAGGTGGACATGTTGTGGAAAGTGAGCAGCACAGCTTGGCCACTGTAGTTCCCCTGTGTGGCGACATAGGTACAATAAGATCTTTGTCATATTGCTATATAGTAGATACTTCCCATGGTATCTACATTTCATAAATCTCTCAGATAAGTAGGTTGTTAAGGTGGTGTCAATTTCTGTCTATTATCTACAGTACTGTAACCAGCAATTTTCAAACAAAATTAATGTACTGTTATTGGACAAATACCTTACTCTAGTAATACTGCATTAATGTAGACGTTTCATATACAGGAGGTCCGTGACATGAACGCCCTCCAATACGAACAAGGTTAAACTTGAAATTTACAGTACAGTATTTTATTTACCTGATGACTTATTTTTTACTTTCATTTACTGTATTTTGTTATTCTATTTCTTTTGTTGTCTTAAATTAAGTGAGTTTAGAAGTATAGAAGGACTTAGGCTGTGATATACCTGTACAAGTAGTGTGATTTTAAATATTGTTTCGTAAGTACGGGATGCATATACCATGTGTTGCGACTTACAGTACGTACAAATTCGACTTACGAACATCCTCAGGAATGGAACCCATTTGTAACCCGGGGACCCCCTGTGGGTATGCAGTAATATGTCCGTTGGCCGGAATTGAAATTTTCTCAGAAAATCGTTCCCAAAGGCGGAATTTTCAGGAAAATTCTGGCTTTGGGAACGATTTTTCGAGGAGCACAATTTCTGGAAAATTCAAAGAAAATTTTCCCGATAGACGAAAAAACTCCGGGGATGGGGGAGTTTTTTCCAGGTTTGAGAGATGAAAATTAGGCGCATTCTCCGGAAATTCCGAGAAAAATTTTCAAGTACCCGGAAAATTCCGGGGATGGAGGACATTTTTCCAGGTTCGAGAGATGATGTAATGGGCAATTTATGGAATTTCTGAGAAAAATTTTATGTTACCCGTAAAATTCTCGGAAATTCCAGGTACAGTGTATGAGGGATTTTTTTCCTTCTTTGAGAGAGTCGTCTCGTTACCCTTAAAATATCTCATTCCCGGAAGTGCTCTGCACCAATTGTTCTGGCTAATGGATATATATATATATATATATATATATATATATATATATATATATATATATATATATATATATATATATATATATATATATATATATATATATATATATATATATATATATATATATATATATATATATATATATATATATATATATATCTTGATAAAATCACACGGGAAAATGGAAACAACGGAGTACCTTGCCTCTGAAGATGTCTTGAATAAAGACGAAAGCTAAGGTACTCCGTTGTTTCCATATATATATATATATATATATATTCCAAACTTGATGTAATAGCCAACCTCATCCTGCTGATACATGACTTCAGAGGACAGAAAGTACTCCAGCAGCTTCCTCTGCCCAATGAAGGTCACACCCTTTTGGTCAGGAACTAAAGCCACGTACTCCTTGGTGATGCCTGTCAGTAACACACCCTGAGGTAAAGGGTAGTCTATTACGCATTAATGGAAATCATAGTGATAAGTGATTTCAATAATGATTCCATTGTTTTTAAAGGAACTGACCTATATGTATGCTTAACTGTAAGATATCATATTTACATGCAATTATTCATTGACAGAAATTTTTTTAAACAAATAAACATATATCACAAGAACAAACAATCATACTAGTCTGGGAAAACAGAGAATACTCTACCTGGATTTGTTGTCCAGACAAAGCTTTTGACTCATTCTATATAATTTGAGGGTGCTGAATCCAAATCTGCCAGGTGCTATTTTGTCACCTTTGGGGAAAGTAAAATATTCAAGATTGCGTCCTAGATGGCTGCCGAATACATAAAGTTTGATATTTCAACCGTAAGCATCATCGATCAATTATATTTTGGTTGATTCATAGGTTTCCAGGCCAAAGAATGCAACACAGATACTTCAAAAACACTATTTGAAATATGTACAACTGTATTTAAGATGTCGTCCAAAATGGCTGCCAAAATAATTGTGAGAGACATTTCTGCTTTCATTCTTAAGAGAAAGTTGTGATTTAGTGACTAAATACATACTCTGGAAACAGAAATATTCACATATGATCTTAATCTTATATACACTATAAGGTTTACTCCATCTTATTCCAGACTCTGTAAAGATCCACAATATCATAAATTATAGGACTGTATTTTTCTCATAAATTTATACACTCAAATATTAGATATTAATCAACACTGTCATCATTGCTTTCATCATCTTTCTCATTAACATCAAGAGTTGTCATGGTTCTTTCATTACATTTCCTGCATGACAACAACAGAACAAGGAGCATGATAGCATGGCAGCAACACAACTACATCGAACAGTTGAACCTGGCTGATTGGCTGAACAGCTGCACTTGATCAGTTTCTGGATAATGTCTGTTACTGGTGACACATCTGAAGGCAATGGAACTGGAAGCAGAAGATTGGACGCCTGATCACTTGACCATCCGTACTGCCTTGGGTCATGGTTTGGTAGACCAATTTCTAAGGCTGCTCTCTAAATCATGGCCTGGTAGTGCACCCTAAACACATGTATTCCAAATGCTGCAGTTGATGGAGGCAAGCATCTCAGCTCAGGAGCTGAAGTCAGCCTTTTGTTGGACATTTTGGATGTCCAAACATCGAATCGTACAGTAGAAATATCATGGATGACTTTCGAGTCATACATAACATGCTGCTACAAATCTGGTGGCTTGAGAGACAACTTCTGTTATCTCAACAAAAATTTTCCCAAGCTTGTCAAGACGATGACCAGATTTCAATGTCTGTATGGCGGTGCCCTGCCATTATGTCATCAATAAGATCTCTGCTTTTCAACTGTGGCCATGATGTCAATGGTAGATCTTGAAGGATTAGTTCTCTCCATGAATATCTTGCAGGTTAACTTCTGTGATGAGTAGTAGTAGTGCATCAGCAGTACAAACACATCCGTGACATCATCGCAAATGACTTTGATGCAATCAACACCACTTGAGGCAAGAAATAACACCTGTTTTGCTATACGTATTCACATCCGCTTCTTTGTGAAGCGTTTTCATATCTGGTTTACACATGACGTTACCCAACCGAATCTCTTTGGGTACTGAGTCTTCGGTCATTAGTGATGAGCTTTCTACCATTCTGTGGAAGAAGTTCGGCATTCTCCTGTAGATACTGACAGACAAGATCTATCAGTTTCACTTTATTCTCTCTAACTGTCAGCACAACTTTCTGAGGGGGTAGTTGTGTGTTTAGGATCAGCTGATGGTGCCAGCTTGCATTTTTTTCCTGCTCTTGACATCCTCATTGCATCTTCGATACTCTTTGGGTAGTACCTGTCAAAGATGAGATATACTTCAGTCTTCTGCAATATGTTGCTGATGTATGCAATTGTGTTCTTGATGAAGTTCTCAACTGTATCCCTGGAAGGCCATGAGATGATCCATAGGACAGCACATCCATCTACCAGTTATTTCAGCTTGTTCAACGAAACGAGAAGAAAGTTCCACTCCCAACCTTTTCTTCAAGGTGGCCTTACTCTTCGCTGTCCGCATATCACCATTGTCTTCAAATAAGGAAGGTGGCACTGGTGATAATTCATACTGAAGAACATCTTTGATACTGATGTCATGAACTGATTGCAGACACAGCACTCTTGAAATGAAAGCCATGCATTAGTTAGTTGAGTCACAAACATAAAAATCAGTTAGCCAAAATATTAAATACTTTATATCAAATATTTGTTAAATTATTATATAGGCTATAATATAAGAAGAAGAATATTACTTTAATTTTAAATAATATCAGTTAGCAAAAATAATGCTATTATATGTTGCTTTAAAGTATAAAAAAGAAAACAAGGTATTTACGGCAGCTATTTTGGATGCCATCTTAAATACGTCTTTATATTCCAGAAACAGATTTCAAACTACAGTACTTTTATTACATTCCTTGACCCTGAAAACCAAAAAAATCAACCAAAATATAATTGGTCGATGATGCTTAGGGTTGAAATATCAAACTTTACGTATTTGGCGGCCATCTTGGGTGCCATCTTGAGTATCTCATTTTCCCCAAGGGCGACAAAGTGGCACCCAGCAGATTTGGATTCCGGACCTTCAAATTATGTATACTAATTAGTGAAAAAACATTGTCTGGACGACAAATCCGGGTTCTCCATAAATTTAGGGTTTGGTTGCTGGACTATACAGATGGTGAAGAGTTGTGACACTGACCATCCTGCACGTCTGGGTATCAAAGGGGAAAGCCTCCAAGTCGAAGTCGCAGGAGGTGGTGACTGTGAGCTTCTTGACGAGCACCAGCGGGTTGTGCTTCCCCTCGAATATCTCATCTGTGGAGGGTCAACATCATTCTCATAGCTAGTCTACCTCACCTGCCACTCTGACACTAAGTACCCCTTCATAATTCGCATAATTTCCTATCCTAAATCCCTGTTGCCTTCACTTCTTGCTGCCTCTCCTCCTGCCAGCCTTCATACAGTACAGTACTTCAACCACTGGCTTTACCCTCTGCCTCCCTCACAAACTATAGTCCTCTCCCTGTAGTCAGCATTTAGCACATGAAATTGCAAGACAGGCAGATAATACATGTGTTTTGATATTTGGGTAACGAGATAGCCAGGAGATACTAACCTGGAGGCAGGATATGAAGAAGTGTGGAAGGCAAAAACAGGAACAGCAAATATCTGATAAGAAGTTTGGTTGAATTGACTTACTGTTCTTTATTGTTTGTATACAGTACAGTGGTCCCTCGGTTAACGAATACAATTCGTTCCACAGAGTCGTTCATAAATTGAAAATTTGGTTAACTAAATCTATTATTTCAATGGGATATTGGGTAATTGGTTCCAACTCACAGAAAAAGTACATACAAAGTACTGTATACCAGTAATAGAATTAACAAAACATTAAATATAAACTAAATACAGTTCTATACTGTACAGTATACTGTACAATAATAAATAAAAAACAATAGAATACTGTATTTTACCGAGTAACTTACTTTAAGGTGTGTATGTCGTATACCTGGCAGCTTTGCTTACATATCAAACAGCTGATTGTAGAGGCAGTTGGTGATGACATGCCATATTCTTTACAGAGTGCATTGGTTCTAATGACCTTCTTCACGTTTCATAATAATTTCTGCACTGTATATTATCAATATGTGAACTGAATTTCAGAATGACCAATAATTTTAATATGAAAAATGCAGAAATATTCAAGAGACCAACTTTCTTGATATTTACTCCACTGGAAACGAATGTAAACATAGAACTGGTTATACTGTATTGGCGGACTGGCCAATCAGCTGATGCGCACAACAAAACGTGTTTGTCATAAGGATTTCATTAATCGAAGTTTTGTTCATTAATCGAACTAAAAATCCTTATGGGAGCTAATTCATTAAACGAAATTTCATTAATCGAACCATTCATTAGCCGAGGGACCACTGTATTTGCACTTTCTATTTACAGTATTAATGTATTGTATACAGTACAGGTGCTCCTCTACTTAAGAACGTTCAACTTACAAACTTTCAGAGATACAAACATCATCACTGAGGGGTGAGGGGGGTTACCTACCAGAACAGGTGTTTAATGTGGATGAGACTGGATTATTTTGAAGAAAATTCCTGATAGAACAAACATTACGTAAGAGGAGAAGAGTGAGCCAGGTTTTAAGGCTGTATTAAAGGGTATAGCTGTACTAAATATCCATAATCTTTTAATTTTTTACAATATGTTTGGTATCTACAAGAATAAAGTTGGACTTACAAACAAGCCTCAGGAACGTAACTCGTTCATAAGTAGAGGAGCACCTGTATATGCTAAATCTATGTGGGCTTGTATTATGATTTTACTTTTTGTTATTAATCTATCTATCTATCATTGTTATTCCCCTGTATTCAAGTGTTGTAAGTGCAAGTGGAGAACATTCACTGCACGGAGTAAATCTGGAAGAGAGTTATTCATATATCAATGGCAGAAACCTGTGATTTATTTTTTCTCTGATAAAATACACACCTAAAGAATCTGTAATACACTTGAGACTCTGAAGTTACCTTCATATAAATTTTCATCGTTGTCTAAAAGAGGATTAGAAAATCGTCGTACTCTGAGATGTTCACGTCGTGTGACAATGTCGCTGGTCGTGTCGCCATCTCCCAGTATCTCAAACAACGGGACCCACGGCATGTTACTCATGTCGTCAATTATGTTCAGAGTCTCAGCCAAATTCAAGTGGTGAAATTCAAGGCGTTTATCAATCCAATGAAGCTGAAGTTCTATTTCACATGTAAATTTAAAGTTGGATAGATCAATATGTCGCATCGACAACATAGTGATATGGAGGTGCACCTTGATGGGCTCCCCACGTTCAATGCGTGAAGGAGGGTTCAGTTTGTCATATTCCTTCGGCAGCTGGAGAAAATCGCAGTTGATTTCATCGGAACCATCCGGACAATCGGCCTCCATGTCACAGCGCAGCTCCAAGTCAATACAGGTTCCTTCAAAGCAGGAGAATTTGCGATCCTCACATGAAGTTATCAGAAGCGTGATCTCCATCTCCCCACATACATCATTGTCCACTACCCAATTGTTAAGGCCAAGTGGATAGTGGGAAGGAGACTCCATATGAAGTATTGCCGTGATGTGAGGTTTATCCAGACGAGTAAGTATCCAATATCCAAAATCTGAGAGTGACACAGTTAGATTTGGTTTATGTTTTGTGATCTCTGAGTAATAGACACCTGTAAAACTAAGTGAGCTTTGATCATGGGTGACGAAGTAGTCGCGATCAAATTGTGACTGTTGACAGAGTCCTCTCATTTTTAATAGTCTTACTTGCTGAAAGTGACAGACTGTACACATTTCTTGTTCACAGTCATAAGATACCCAGGTGCTGTACAATTCTGGGGTCGTTTCTTTGCTGCCAGTGAACACCAAACAGGTGTCTGGGTGTACAATTGGCAAACCATTATCTTTGTCAAATTTTGAGTAATTAATGGGTGTGTTATTCCTATAATGATACCATTTTTGTGTGGCCACATTTCCTTTGACACCCAGCCAGAGTGTCTCAGACGTCCCTTCGCCACAATGCTCAGCATACACTAGTGACTTGTTGAAGAGTCGCATGTTGTCCATATCGTCTACTGGCACCTTAAGCTCTCCACCCACTATATGACAGAGAAGCTCACCATCCTCAAACACACGAAGCTCAGGGAAGATGAGGTCAAAATCCCTCGCCTTATTACAGTAACCTCCTGTTATTACACCAATATCTACATTGCTAACAGAAAAATCTTCATTGATGTTCGAGAAATCCACAATAGGTGGATACACATTGATAAAGTTCTCGCACATGGTAAATTTAATTATTTGTTGTGAAGTGAAGAACATATCATATATCTTCACATCCATCAAGAGACCAGACAAACTTTGAAACTCGCTGAAGAAGGCTCCCACACTGTCCTGGTCCTGACCAAAAAATAGACTTCCTCCTGGACGGATCCTTACAGGTGCGTTTGTTGTGATATCGGCATAACCTTCAACGATCTCACCATTCTTGGCTAATTTCCAGTGATTTTTCTCAAGATCTATTGTCAGGCAGAAAGATAACCATTCACGGAGACCGATCTTCTGTTTGATTTCTAATTCCCATAATCCATCACAGCACTTGAAGATAACTGCTTGATCCATGAAATTCACACCTGAAATGAAAATTACACATTTAGTAACATGTTAATTTCTGTGAGGAATACTTACATATATCTACAAAAGTGTACAATCTGTTCAACTTACATTTGAATCTTTTCAGTTGTTTCTATACAGTACACTACAGGTACTGTATTCCATTTCTCGATGCATCTCAGGCTCTTTTTTTTGCCTATGCTGCAGCTCCTCTCTTGTATGTTTCATTTTTAACCCTTGTTTTTTTTTTCCTTGACATTAATGATATTCACATAAGCACCTTCGACACTTTTCATGCAGCACAAAGCACACTCTTGATCTCATTTTTTCCCACTTAAGATACCCAAGGAAAAGTGCGTTTCATGGCGATGCCCACAAGCTCTTTAAAATCAAATACTAATGATATTTTTGAGCCAAAATATATAAAAAATATATTTAAATGTGTATCCATTTAAGTGAAGATTTAACATGAAAATATAAACTTTAGGACAAAGCTTTTGATTTACCCTAATGGCTAATGATGTCATACTCGGTAGTTGCATTAAAGCAGTGGCCAAGATAAAAGGACAAAGCTTTTGATTTACCCTAATGGCTAATGATGTCATACTCGGTAGTTGCATTAAAGCAGTGGCCAAGATAAAAGTCTTCTATGCTTACTTATACAATACTCTTCATCCCATATCAGCTGCTGAGGAGAGGAAGTCTGACTAACTGATGCTGACATGTTTCAGATCAGAGGCGTCTGACAAAAATTACACCAAATTGGTGCCTCCACTTAGTCTCATCAAGTACGTATTGTGCAGATAACCCCCGATATTCGATATCCCGAGATGGGATATTTCACTTTAATGATGGTTGTAAATTAACACCATCTCGCTATATATGATCAAACAGCTCGCTTTAACGATATCCATCGATATTCAATGGTCGGAATTCTTTTTCTCTGGTGCAAACTAGGGTTGTTTATACTCAAATTAATTACCGTCTTCCATGGATTCCAGCATTGTAAGTTATATTTTTCTATCTCAAGTCTGACTTTTTATAAGGAAACAATATTTAACTTTGTGCACCTCGCATCTCTACCTTCACTTGTCAGCCTACCCACACGTCACCACATGGCCAACCCACGCACTACAGCCCTCCCCTTGGTTCTTTGTCGATCATAAATCTGGTATTGCATTGCATTATCATCAACCAGCATCATACATTGTACTTAACATCTACGGTATGCCTTTTTCCTTTTCTAAGTGAGAGGACAGCACTAACATTTAGATTGAACTGTGCTATGGTGACCTTGAAGTAATATTTCCTATATTTTTGTGACTGTCATTTTGAAAATGAGAGCAGTGTCAGCCGCTATCATTGTTTTTGTTATCATTCATTCTGTTTTTGTGACAAGTGCTTTTGTTCTGTTTTTGTGACTGTAAAGTGAGCAGTGTAACACTGAAAGTGTCTGGAAAGGCCAAGGCATCCAAGACAACTGTGTCTCTGAAGTGAAGCTTGTCACTGTTAAGCAGCATGAGACTCCCTAGAGGCTGTGTGGGAGTCAGAGTGATGTCTCCACCCCACCTACGAGAGTCCCCTTAGTCTCAAAGGGGACATGTGATGATGACCAGACTTATCCAATATAATATGGTGAGTTGCTTACTTGTTTGATACTGTTAGTGGTACGAGTATTGTAGGAATTTTTTTGTCTGTGATACATGTGTGTTTGGAAACGCATCCCATTGAACCCCATGTTATAATGCTCTATCTACGATTTTTCACCAAGCGATGGGTTTTCAGGAACGTAACCCCATCGTATCTCGGGGGTTACTTGTATTGTACCAAGAGAGACTAAAACGACTTCACTTTTCTAGTTAATACTGTATTATAGATGGGCAAGGGGTGATTTAATAGAAGTTGGTACTATAACTTTCAGTCTGTGAGCACCTCTTTACAATTACTTTTACTTTTATCCTCTTCACCACTGATCGACTTTAGCTGCTTGGGCGGTCGGACACCTCTCTGTTACACACTGTTGGCAAGTACTGGGCATGCACTGGCTCCTGAATGTATCTGAACCTGCTCCAATGTTGGTCAAGTCTGGTCTTGAAACAGCTCACATTCGGTGCTGTCACAACACTTTCTGGCACGTTGTTCCAAGAGTTTAGAATTCTCATTCCAAAAATGTTTGCCCTCTCAGTTTTCTGGACTTACGGCTTCTTCAACTTACTAACATTCTTAATCTTTGTTTTACCTCTAACCCCTCACACTATTTATACTCAATTTCTGCCCCTTAGGGTCTTCTGATCACAATCTTATTTCTATTAAATCAAACTGGGCGCGACCACCTCCCCCACCCCCCTCTAAATGCCAACTATGGCACTACAGGAGGGCAAACTGGCAATCCTTGCGAGAATTCTTCTCTGACTTTCCCTGGGAAGAATGTTGCTTTTCCACTCGGGATGCCTTGGTATGTGCTGACAGCATTGCTGGGATTATACTCGGTGGTATAAGTGCATTTATCCCTTCTTATACCAAAACTTTCACTTTACAATCATGGTTTGATCGCTCTTGTTCCCTTTCATGTAGGGAGAGAGATAGGGCGTATCAAGTAATGAAACTATCTCCTCCTGTTACCCGCTCCTCTTTCACTACTTTTAGGAATCATTGTAAGGTTATTCTTCGTAGGGCCAAGCGGAATTTTATAAAAAGAAAGACTGTTGACCTGACTAACTCTTCTTCTGGTAGATCCTTCTGGTCCTTAACCAAAAACATCTGTAATAATTTCTGCACTCCCTCTTTTCCTCCTCTCTTCCGACCTGATAACTCTATAGCCAATTCTCCCCCTGATAAAGCCAATCTCTTTGGCATCTTATTCTCCTCTAACTCCACCTTTGACGATTTAAGAAATAAAGAAATATGAACGAGAATCAGTAAACTATGAAAAGCTGTTTCAGAAAGTAGAATTGACACACATACCATTAGTTTTCAAACCTATGATAGTGCAGCAACAATGCCTGGAAAGTACAATGGTGCAAGAAGCTCTTGCAGGACTTGAAGCAGAAGAGGGAGGAGTCAAGGAGGAACGGGGACTGGTTTTCATGGGTTATATTCAGGGGGAGGGTAGTGGAAGCAAGTGTGTCGACAAAGGGCCAGGGGGCAGCAGCGCACCCTCCACCCATTCTACTCCCCACACGGGAGGTGGCACTGTAGTGGATTCCTCCCCTACAAGCACCGAACCTTCTCGAATTCCCCAGCCTACACCTCCAGCGCCGCCCACGGAGCGGGGGTCAACTATCTACCCACGCCTACCCCCGCCTTATAAGGCTTGACACTGCTGTGACCAGCCTCTTTCTACACAGTGCCACCAGCAAGCAACACCTCCTCCTCCCCTCCAGCCTGGCGGCTGCCGTTCCCGCCAGCGAACTTGCCGTCCCTCAAGCCGCGTGTCCCTCCTCTGGGCACCCTCACCACTCAGCTCTCTCTACTCAATGCTTATTACCATGCTACCTACCCAGCAACAAGCTGCATTGTACATCCAATGCAATATGTATACAGTGAGCACATTGTGAGTTCCCTTTCTCCATCCCATCCTGAGTGTGACCCAATATTTCATAACCCTACAGCACCATCTCCGCCTACCACACAGGAAGAGGCGAGCGCCGTGCAAACAATGACATTTCTAACCACACCCTGCAAAATACAGTGTACTTAGCAAATGCTGCAGCTTCTGAGATTGGGGGGGGGGGCGGAGTTACTACTAGGAGCAGAGACATTACCAAGAACAAATTCTTGCTTGAATGTCATGTACACTAATACTGACACGTTTCTTGATAAGAGAGAGGAGTTTGAAACACTACTGAAAGTACACCAACCAGATATTGTAGGAGTTGTAGAACTGTTGTACAAGAACAGGAGAATCGACCCAGAGGAATGTGAGTTCAGTATTGCTGCATATGACTCATTTACGAACCTTTCTCAAAAAACTTGCAAGAGGGCTGTGGTTATCTATGCTCGGCAAGACCATAGAGCCAGCCAGGCGAGGGTACAGGGAGAGGATGTTTTTGAAAAGTCCAAGTGGTGTAAAATTAAATTAAAGGGAAGGGGACTTACTTATCGTCGGATGTATCTGCAGATCCCCAAACTGTGGCCCACTAAATCAAAGGAAATTAAGAGCCTTAATAGACAACGTGGCGATGTTCAACCCTAGACACCTCCTTATCATGGGGGACTTTAACTATGGTGACATCGACTGGGAAACGAGTTCACCCCAAATGACTTGAATAACCCTGCTACACTTTTTGTAGAAACTCTGAGAGATAATTTTCTGTTCCAACATGTTAGAGACCCGACACATTACAGAGGAGAGCAAACACCCAAGCCACTTGACCTCATCATAACAAAGGAGGAGGGTATGGCGGCCAAACTGGAACACCTTGCCCTAGTTGGTACCAGTCACAATATAGTGTTGTCATTCAGATTTAACTGTTACCTAGTTCAGGATAAGGCCAGGCCAAGGTGCAAATATTACAAGGGAAATTACATCGGGATGAGGGAAGAGATGAGAGGTATCTCATTAAGGCACAAGAACGCAGACACTTCGCTGAATATCATAACTAGTAAAGTGACCCATTTCATCAATAAATATATACCCAAGACCAAACCCAGTGCCTCTAGGAATACGAGGGGATCCCTACACATGAACCACGCGGCGGTCGGCAGAGTTAAGAAGAAAACCCAGAAATGAAAGACGTGGGTTGGGTCAAATGATGAACAGGACAGGAGGATGTATGCAAGAGCCAGAAACCAAGCAAAGATAGAGTGTAGAAAGGCTGAAAAGGAGTTCCAGAGGCTGATTGCAAGCGAGGTCAAGTCAAACCCAAAGGCGTTTTACCGCTATGCAAAGTCGAAATTAAAAACGCGAGTAGGAGTATCAGACCTGAGGCTTGAAGATGATAGTTACGCAGATTCTGACCAGGATAAAGTTGAGTCATTGAGCAGCTTCTTTTCCTCGGTGTTCACAAGAGAGGATGTGATTAACCTTCCTGCGTTTGAGAACAGACGGTTCGACACAGCACTGACCCACATTGTGTTCACAGAAGAGGGTATTAGAAATAAACTGTCCAGGCTAAAGGTCCATAAGAGTCCCGGCCCTGACATGGTGCATCCTAGAGTGCTAAGAGAGTTG